TTAGATGTGTTATCAGAACAATTCATAAAATAATAAATTTCATCAAAATTTAACACTGCTGCTTTTTGAAAGGCGTTATTTATAAGACAATAAAAAGATGCACTACAGACTGGAAAAAAATATTTGCAGTGATTATATCTGATCCAGTACTTGTATCTCCAACATATAAAGAACTCTCAAAATTCAACATGAAGACAGAACTCAATTAAAAAAAAAAGCAAATATGGGAACAGTTAACCAAAAAGATACATGACAAACCTGTCAAGAGACTCTTAGCCACAGTGATTCAGTTCAGTTCAGTCGCTCAGTCGTGTCCGACTCTGCGACCCCATGAATTATAGCATGCCAGACCTCCCTGTCCATCACCAACTCCCGGAGTTTACTCAAACTCATGTTCATCGAGTTGGTGATGCCATCCAGCCATCCCATCCTCTGTCGTCCCCTTCTCCTCCTGCCCCCAACCCCTCCCAGCATCAGGGTCTTTTCCAATGAGTCAACTCTTTGCATGAGGTGGCCAGAGTATTAGAGTTTCAGCTTCAGCAGTGATTAGAGAAATGCAATTAAAATAACAGTGAGACCTTGCTATATACTTACTAGAACAGCAAGGATGTGGAGGAATTGGAACACTAACATAGTTGGGGCAATGTAAGATGCTCCAACCAATTGGAAAACAGTTTGTCAGTGTTTTAAACATATACTGATGGCAGGATCAAGCCATTCTGCTCCTAGGTGTTTATCCAAGAGAAAAGAAGGTGTGCCTTCATACAGAAACTCACATGTGGACAGTTCATAGCAACCATATGCGTAATGGCCCTAAGCTGGAAGCAACCCAGTTATCTCATCAGCAAGAGATCAATGAATAAACGAACGGTGGCGTTTACACAATAGAATATTACTAAGGAATGAAAGGAAGAATTAGTGATAAATACAGCAACATGACGATCCTCAAAATAATTACGCTGAATGAAAGAAAACCAACAGCAAAGTACATTCTGCATGGCTCTATTCATATCAAAGTGTAGGAACTGCACAGTGATGTGTAGTGGTAGAAACCTGGTTGCCTGTTGAGCAGGGGCGAGGGCTGCTAGGGAGAGGGAGAAATTACAGAGAGTTACAAGGAAACTCTGGGGGTTGATAAGTATATTCATAATTTTGAATGTGGATACAGTTTTATGGGTGTCAACTTATCAGAATGTACATTTTAAATGTGCACAGCTTGTTTGTCAGCAATACCTCAGTAAAAGTGGGAAAGAACTGCAGAAGCATCTGACTTAACTTTTCATGTGTCTAATCCTATGACAGTTTCCATGTCTTCTGCCTCTGTGTCTCTTACATCCATATACTCTTCTTTCTTCTTCATGCCAAACTGACTCAGGGGAAAACTATCAGACTGAAGGTTCTCTCTCCCTCCTTTAAGCCCATCCCTCAGCCTTGTCTTTTTTTTTTTTTTCTGTTATTTTTATTAGCTACTCCTCTACCCTTGTGGACGCTGGATGCTCATCTTTTCTTTTCTTTCCCTCCTCTTCCTAGAGTAGAAATTCATTTTGACTCCTGCCAAATATACTGAATTCCTCTCACCTTTCTCAGTCATTTAAATTAGAGCTTTACAAAATGCCAATTCTGCAGAGAACACAATACAGGAAACAGGAAAATAGAATTCATAGCTCACACTGTTGGAATTCCAGTCACTTTTAACATTGAGCATTTTGAGTTTATTAGAATTAATTTATATTTGGTAAAATATTGGCTTAAGTATGCACTATGTTTTGTCAGACCTCTTCACTGTGACCCATCCTTCTTGGATGGCCCTGTACGGCATGGTTAATAGCTTCATTGAGTTACGTAAGCCCCTTCGCCATAAGGCTGTGATCCATGAAGTGGCAGAAAATTTTAAATGTTCATTAACTGTAATTTTAGGGTTAGTTATGTGTATATTTTCAATGGAACACAGTTTCATTTTTTTATGGTTGAAATTTTATAGTAAGAAAATAGAATCTATTGCTTTTCACAAGTACACAGAATTAGCTCTTTTAAGTAAGAGTTATCTTAACTGTCTTACTTAAAAGAGTTACAGTTAGAAGTGCTTTTGGCTTCAAGAAACAAAAGCAAACAGAAAAGGTACCTTTGCTGCAGTTGAGTCAGCAGCTGAATGAAGCTAGGCAGAATTACCCAAGATTCTCTTGGCCTCTCTTTAAGGTTAGATGATTGCTGCTGCTGATCCACTCCCAGCACCTGGGTACACAGCAGAAAGAAGAGACAGGATAGTAGTAGTAGAGCTTTTCACATGTGCCCTGGCTACAGCCTGAACGCAAGGAGTCTGGAAAACTGAGTGTTTAGTTCAGCTAGCGTTTAGTAATCGGAGAAGGCAATGGCAACCCTCTCCAGTACTCTTGCCTGGAGAATCCCATGGATGGGGGAGCCTGGTAGGCTACAGTCCACAGAGTCGCGAAGAGTCGGACAGGACTGAGCGACTTCACTTTCACTTTTCACTTTCATGCATTGGAGAAGGAAATGGCAACCTACTCCAGACTCTTGCCTAGAGAATCCCAGGGGCAGGGGAGCCTGGTGGGCTGCCGTCTATGGGGTCACACAGAGTTGGACACGACTGATGTGACTTAGCAGCAGCAGCAGCATTTAGTAATATTGCACTTTATACTAAAGGGAGATAGGCGAGCAGGGATGGGAATTAGACGTTGGGTGAACCTCCCATGGACCTACCTCTGCATAATACACAGCAGCTTTCCCCCCGTATACCTGGACCTTGAGACATTTAAAAGGTGAAAGTGCAACAAGTATGTACCAATTTGATATAGTTCTTTAAAGAAGATCATTAAGCTTTGTTGAATCTTGTGAAGAAATAATAGCAAGCTATTTTTATTTGCTGACAGATATTTGAGTTTAGAAACTAGACTAGGTGCTTTTACACAGATTATTCAGGTAGCTAATGATGTCCCATTTTTATGAATTAAGAAACAGATATTAAGCAGTTTACTGCAGATCACAGAGCCTAGGAAATGAGTGGTCTTTTCTCTATAGCGAATTGCAGAAGATGTTTATAAATGGAAATGAATTAGAATTTTATGGAAAGAGTGATATTTGATAGTGAGGAAACTTAAGTACATGCAGGCAAAAGGTGGTAGGTATTACATGTCACATCTATACATTGGAGGAGCCAAAACCCTCTAGGTCTTCTAGTGGCCAACATACTGGAATAATAAAGAACAGATAATGTTGCACAAGTGCTTACTACATTCGTTTTGCTTATACTCATCTGTTTAATCCTGATAACAAACCTTATGAGTTAGGCACAAGATCATTATGTTTAGCGGAAGAAACTCAAATGGAGCCTAAGTTATAAACCCAGCCTAGTAAGTGGCAGGCCTAGAATAGAACCGAGGCCCTCTTAATCCTGGGGCTAGGTGCATGCTCAGTTGCTTAAGTCGTGTCCAACTCCTTGTGACCCCATGGACTGTAACCCACCAGGCTTCTCTGTCCATGAAATTCTCCAGGCAAGAATACTGGAGTGGGTTGCCATGCCCTCCTCCAGGGGATCTTCCTGACCCAGGGATTGAACCCATATCTCCTGCATTGCAGGTGGATTCTTTACCCACTGACCCACCTGGGAAGCCCCAATCCCCGGGCTACACTTAACCATAAGTAATTCCCTTAGAAGTGGTTTGTGTAAGAGAGAATGAGAAGGATTTTTCAAATTGATTCTCATCTGGTTCTAACCAATCTTGGAAGAATTTCTACTTGTTGATTAGTTAAATAGGAAGTTGAGTAAAATATGGTATAGAATTTCACCAATAAAGCAGATACTTACAACATCATTTTAGAAGGCAGTGCATATAGGAACTTTAAGATCCTTAATCAAATCTTTTAAACAAGCTGATAGTTTATTAATAAGCCCTTTCAACTCATGATAACTGGTTACATCTTCATAATTTCAAGAGCTAACGTAGAATATCGATCAAGAAATTGAAGTAAGAATGCAACAAATTAGTATGTGAAATACTCCCACGCAGATGAAAATTATACAGCGCAGACCTTCACGATGAGTCAGACTCTTGGAAAGCTGTTCCTTTCTTCCCCAGAGTCTGTCAACAGAGGGATGTACAAAGTGATGTAGTTTTCTTGTTTCAGCTTTAACATCTGCTGCTTGGCAGCCCAATCATATTCCTATCTAAGAAAACATCTATAAATATTGGTAAAAATTTCCTTTTTACTTTTGTTTCCCGGATCTTCATATCTGTATTCATTCTGCTGGCTATGTAGTATCTCTGGGTGATCTGGAGCTCAGTATTTTCCTATCACAGCTCCTTGGGGGGTCTTCCTAATACCACAAGCAATTTGCTACCAGGTCAGCTTGGTGTACTTTTTCAAAGCCGAGATTGGTTGTTTTCTTCTCTTGCTTCCCCACTTATCCACACACTTCTGACCCTTTACCAAGAATGAATACCAGGATTTTAAGTGAGCAATCGTTTCGTCAGGTTACTTTAATTTAGTCTTGTCATTTTTCACTGAACCTATGAGAGAATGAAGGAAAAATACACAAAAAAGTTGAATGTGGTTTAGTGTTGCTTTGAAAAAAAATCATAGAGAAGTCAGTAAATATGAAAGTGGGCAGTAGAAGTGTTCACACAACTGGATTGAAATTTCAGCAAAGTAAATTATTAACAGGTATAAATTATACCTCTTGCCATGCATAGCTTGATATCAGACTAAATATTTTAATTAGAGTAAAAGAAGTTTGGGAAATTAAAAGCTAAAACTAGAAAAGAAGACTTTTTTAGGCAAATAAAACACATGACTCTATATACTCATAGCAACAGCTTGTTTTATTTGTTTGTATAATTGGCATCATCAGTGATTTAGAGTCTTGGGATAGCAGAATCGCTGGGAGGGGCTGTGGAGCACATTACTGGAATTGAATTGGCAATGCTCACACACTGGTCTGTTCCCTGGTTTAGAATCCTCTCTCTGCTGCCTTTCTTCTTTAGGTGGGACTCTTCCCTGGACACTGTGTTGAGTTAATTAATCAGAAAGTTCCCCAGTCAGTGACCAACTCAGTGCCAAAACCAGGTGAGTACTCTTTCTCATTAGTGTGGTTATTTACCCACTGCTTAAAGATCCAGATTTTCTCTTCCAGTCAGGCACGCAGCTTGTTTAGCTGTTGTGTTCATTGTCATAATATGCATTCTTAATTTTAATGTGGTTTTGATTTTTAGTGTATTCTTTTTTCTCTGTTGATCATTTCACAAAGGTTTACATGCATTGAGAATTTTAGGCGATTTTAAGAACTGTTTGCTCCATTAAGCTTTGTCATTATTTGCTTTTGCAATTATATAGTAGGAATGTGGCTAATTAATGAGCAAAATGATAAAAGAAAATGCCAGGTGTAAGGACCTGACATGGAGATAATATGATTAGCTGAAAATTAATAAATGAAGGGAAAATATATCATCAGTGCCTATGAACATCCAAACTATTTTAAACAGCATTTCTTATTACTTATATAATGTATTTACAGTGCTGCATAAGTGTGTGGAATATTGTACAGATATGTAAAGCAGTGTGTTGCAGGGAGTAAAAATAAAAAACAGTGGAAACTTTTGTTTTTATTGGGGTGACTTAATCTGGACGAATTTTACAGAATACTTCATCAGGAACTTTTTAATCTGATGTAAATTTTTGGAAGGAAAATAAAAACAAAGAATAAAGAATTTAGAAGGAGGAGAAAGTGATCAAATGAATTTCTCCTTCCGCCTTACTCTCCCCTCACCCTGAGATTCTCAGTCTCTTTTCAAGGCATTTTTATCCTCTATTAAATCCCCTTCTTTGACCAAGCTTGTTAAGCATCAAACAACACTGTCAGAGGAACTTACTTATTCATTAGTGGTTGTGATGGCTGTAGTTTTCTTTTCTTTCTGACATGTCGCATCAGTAACTTGAAAAAAAAAACTCCTGTGCCCACCAGCAGACAATGCTTCTCCTCTCCCTCACCCCAGCTCTAAGCAACTGCTGATCTACTTTCTGTCTCTAGAGTTCTCTGAGCTAGACCTTTCACACAAATGAAATGAATCATACAAAATGTAGTCTTGTTGTAACTGGCTTCCTTCACTTAGCATAATGTTTTCAAGGTTCATCCATATATCAGTGCTTTATTCTCTCTTCTGGCTAAATAGTAGTGCATTGTATGGTTATACAGTATTTATTTTATCCATTCACTTTGGATTTCCATTTTGGGTTATTTTGAATAATGCAATAATTAGTATACAAGTTTTGGTACATATATATATGTTTTCATTTCTTGACTATGTGTGTAGCAGTAGGATTGCAGGGTCATATGATAACTCTGTGTTCAACCTTTGGCGGAACCCCCAAACTAGTTTACCTTTGTAAACCAGCTGCACTGTTTTACACTTCCACCAGCAGTGTATATGAGAATTCAAATTGTTCCATTTCCTTGTTACTATATTTTTGGTTATTGTTGTCTTAGTGGGTATTAAGTGATGCATCTTTATGGTTTTGAAATGCATTTCCCTGATGGCTAATAATGTTGAACATCTTTTTATGTGTTTACTTATTACCCATTTGTGTGTCTTTGGAGAAATGTTCAGACTTTTGTCTGTTTTTTAATTTGGTTGTCTTTTTACCATTGGGTCATGTTATACATTCCACATACAAGTCCTTTATCAGATAATGTGATTTGCAGACATACATTTCCTCAAATTCTGTGTTTTGTCTTTCATTTTCTTGATGATATCTGTTGAAGCATAAATATTTTTTATTTTGATGAAGTTCAATTTATTTTTTTCTTTTCTCACTTATGCTTTTGATGTCTTATCTAAGAAGGTGTTGTTTAGCCCAAGGTCAATATTTACTTCTGTATTTTCTTTTAAGAAGTTTATAGTTTTAGATCTTCCTTTTTAGCCTACTACCCATTTTGAGTTAATTTTTGTGTATGGTTTTAAGGTTCACGTCCATTGGATATCCAGTTATCCGAGCATGATTTGTTGAAAAGGTTATTTCTTCCCTATTTAATTGACTTGACTCCCTTGTAGAAACTCAGTTGACCTTAGACACATGAAGTTATTTCTAGATTTTCAGTTCTGTTCCATTGATCTATATGTCTGTTCTTATTCCAATACCACCCTGTTTTGATTACCATTGTTTAGTAGTAAATTTTGCAGTTGGGAGGTCCTCCTACTTTATATTTTTTCAGGATTGATTTGGTTTTTCCAGGTGCCTTGCAATTCCACATGAATTTTAGAATCATCTTGTTAGTTCTAAAGGAGATGGTTGGGATTCTGATAGGTATTTATTGAATCCACATATCAATTTGGAAAGTATTACCTTCCAGCCAGTATTTAAGTCTTTCAGTCCTTGAATATGGGATTTTTTTTTCCATTTGATTAGATCCTTCACGTCATTCAACTTCTTGTAGTTTTTTTTTTTTTTAAAGTTCTGCATATCTGTTGTTAAATTTATTTTTATTCTTTTGATGCTTTTGTAAATGGAGTTGTTTTCTTAGCTTCATTTTCTTATCGTTCATTGTAAGTGCATAGAAATACAATTTTGTATCTTAATCTTGTATCCTGAAACTTTTTTTTTTTCCATTTATTTTTATTAGTTGGAGGCTAATTACTTTACAACATTGCAGTGGTTTTTGTCATACATTGAAATGAATTAGCCATGGATTTACATGTATTCCCCATCCCGGTCCCCCCTCCCACCTCCCTC